AAAATGCCCCCTCGGCTTATGCGCGGGTCACCAATTTTTCCCAGTTCTCTGTGGGAAAATCGGTCCCTCGGCTTATACTCGGGTCGACTTATACTCGAGTATATACGGTAATTGGTATTTATTACAGACCATTTGGCTACTAAGGACATTATAATTCTTATTAAAAATATTTTCAAAAAGCAAAACCAAAAGTATGAACTCCCCTGCTTTAAATTACTTATATAATCTATTAACAATTAATTCATATGTTAATGAAGATCACCCACAGCTTCAAAATAAATATAATACTCCTTCTTAAATAGTTGTGAGTATTTTGGGAACATGTGTCCTGAGACCTAAAAACTGATGACTGGGGATGACAGAAGTTGTAGTTCAGTCTCAAGATTCTTTTGTTTTAATCACTTGTAGAATGATGTTGGTCAACAAATGATTTTCTCGAACTAGAGATAGCATTTTTATCCATATCTAAATTATTTATCTAAATAATGCATTTGAATATACAGATTTGAAACAAGGCCACAAGTTCTAATTCCTAAAATATTGCAGAATATATGTAAGCTACTGTAAATATAGCGTGTAACATGAAATTAAATTTAAAGCTGGAGACAGCCACCTGCAGTATACATTGTGAACAAAGCTATCTTCAAAACTTCCTTTGATAGAGTACGCCAACATTATTAATTCAAAAATCATTGCAACCCTCCTTGACATGTCAAAGACAAAACTCTTACCGTTTCCTTTGGAATTTGTGACTGGCTTTGTTCAGTATTCTAAAAGAAGTGGGGAAAAAATGAAATCAGAACAAGGCTAGAAAAGGCATTTGCTTCAAAGGAGGACAAGCAAGCAACCTGATAACCAAAATGATTCATAGCTGTTAATAGTAATAAGAAATCTTTCACCAGTGATACTAATCAATTCTATTTAAAAGTTAATCTAAAAATTCCAAAACTACTGATTAAACAGCCATTTGAGCCCAGCAGAGGAAACTATTTTTAAAAGACAGAAATAAGAATATTCTAGCATTTCTCCCATCCCCTTCCCTTAGGCTGCATAAGGAACAATAGTCGTGTATATATTTAGTGATTTTAATAGACGCAGGTAGACTGGAGAGGGAACATTTATGTAATATAGGTAGTCCACCACTTATGACAACAATTGAGCCCAAAATTTCTGTTCTTAAGCAAGAACAGAACTGTTCTTAACAGTTGTAAGGAAGCTTTGTTCCATTTTATGCACTTAAGTGAATCACTGCAGTTGTTAAGTTAGTAACACAGTTAAGAGAATCTAGCTCCTCCACTGTCTTTGCTTGTCAGAAAATCACAAAAGGTGATTACATGATCCCAGGATATTGTACCTATCATAAATACCTGTCAGTTGTTAAGCATCTGAGTTTTGATCATGTGACTTTAGGATGCTGCCACAGTTGTAAGGGTGAAAAACATCACTTTGAATGGTCACTAAATGAATAGCTGTAAGTTGAGGATTACCTCTACAGTCTTATCAAAAAAATCTCCAAACCAGACCCAACAGCCTCAGTTCCAAGTGTCCTCCAAATTGAAACTTCTGAATGGTATCCCTTTTCAACCTGTATTTTGGCTGAATGCATATAACATGCCTATTTCAAACACAGGATTAGCATAGCATAATAGTTGGAATGGTTCACTGAATATAATGAAATACAATCTCCCCAACCCTATTTTAGGCTAGCCTAACAACTTCCTTGTACTTTTCTTAAAGAAAATTAGGAGGCCAACATTCTTACAGCACATCACATGTAGACAGAATTATTTGACATAAAGCTGATAATTTTTATAAGTGCAGAAAGAGAAGTTCAACAACTTACAGTGAGATCAACTTGCAATGAGATAAAGGAAGAAATGAGATGAAATTTTATAGTGCTTATCTTTACATTTCGGGCTGGTTTTTTAAGCTGAACATCACTATGCACTTTTCCCCAGCAGATTTCATGCAATTTTATAATGTTTTTTGCATTTTTTTAAATTACAAAATGGCTAAATAATGTCCAACTTTTTATTGAATAATCATGTTTCCAGCAGTTTACTACTTCCCTGCCTTCCATTTGTCCTCAAGAAAAATCCTTTTCTTCCAATACTGCTTTTTTCAGTCTGGGAAGCATGGGATCTGGGAAGACTTCAGCATATTAGAAAGATGCATAAAATAAAGGAATATAAAGAGTGATATTTTCTGTTATTTCCAGCATTGAAGTCAGCTCAAAAGAAATCCCTCAAAAGAAATTCAAAACCATCCTAAGAATAAGATAAGAAAACAGAAGCCTCTTTTACTAGTGAAAGAACCTGAGGGGACACTGCAAGATACCTTTCAACCCAACATTAATCTAAGCCCTGAGAAGAGAATAATACTGCAGCCCAAGACAGAATATCTTCATTTAGAATATAAATATTGGAAACCGTTAATGCTTACTTTTCATATAGCGAAGCATTATGGTCCCCAAATCCTTCTGTGATTTGACATTTTTGTCCAAGCAACAAAATAATTCAGCAGAAGCCGTCATGTGCAAAGTTTGTGCATTCGACACTTAAGAAATGGTAAGATATTATTTTTCCAAATAATGCTAATAATTCTAAAAAAACATAGTCTAAACTAAAATATACAAAAATTGGTCCAACATCCTTGAAAACAGGGAAGGAAACTAAGAAAAAAGACACTGTTCATTTGGAAGCATTGGGTAATGACAATAGATGTGTAGTCCTCAATGGAATTGCATCTACATGGAGGGAAATGTGTAGTGGGGTGCCCCAGGGCTCTGTTCTGAGCCCAGTGCTCTTCAACATCTTCATCAACGATTTGGATGAGGGGATAGATGGGGAACTCATCAAATTTGCAGACAACACCAAGCTGGCAGGAATAGCCAACACTCCAGAAAATAGGCTTAAGATACATGGGGATCTTGACAGACTTGAACACTGAGTGCTATCTAACAAAATAAAATGCAATGGTGAAAAAAATAATGTTCTACATTTAGGCAAGAAAAAACCAAATGCATAGGTATAGTATAGGTGGTACCTTGCTCACTAGTAGTAGCTGTGAAAGGGATTTTGGAGTCCTAGTGGACAATCACCTAAATATGAGCCAGCAGTGTGCTGCAGCTGCCAAAAAGGCCAACACAGTGCTAGGCTGTATTAACAGAGGGATATAATCAAGATCATGTGAAGCAGTGGTTCTCAACCTTTTTAATGCCGCGACCCCAACCGGTCGTAAGTCGAGGACTAAACCAGTCATAAGTCGAGGACTAAACCGGTTGTAAGTCGAGGACTACCCAACCAGTCGTAAGTCGAGGACTTTCCCTGCCCGGGAGCGCCGCACATGTGTGGTTCCGCCCCCTGCGCCGGCCGAGGCGTAGCTGGCAAGCGGCAGAGACGGAGCAGGCCGACCACCAGCTGGCCCAGCCCAAGGGAGGTAAGGCACCTGCCGGAAAAGGGGAAAAAAATGGCGGACAAAAAAAATGGCGGACAGCCTTGCTTGGCAACCCCCGTGAAATGGTCGATCGACCCCAAATGGGGTCCCGACCCACAGGTTGAGAACCACTGATGTGAAGTGTTAATACCACTTTATAATGCCTTGGTAAAGCCACACATGGAATACTGCATTCAGTTTTGGCCACCACGATGTAAAAAAGATGTTGAGACTCTAGAAAGAGTACAGAGAAGAGCAACAAAGATGACCCTAGCCCAGAGATCCCCAACCTTTTGGGCACCAAGGACTGGTTACGTGGAGAGAGATTTTTCCACGGACCAGAGGGTGCGTGGTTTTGTGTGCTGCCTGTATCCCGCGGAGGGGGCTTTGCTTGTTTGTGCGGACTGGTTGCTGGCATGCTGTGGCCCGATACTGGTTCACAGAATGGGGTTTGGGGACCCCTGGTCTAAAGAAAAGAAGAAATAGGGGAGACATGATAACAGTATTCCAGTATTTGAGGGGCTGCCACAAAGAAGAGGGGTTCACGTTATTCACCAAAGCACCAGAGGACAGGACAAGAAACAATGGTTGGAAACTGACCAAAGGGAGAAGCAACCTGAAAGTAAGGAGAAACTTCCTGACAGTGAGGACAATTAACCAGTGGAATAGCTTGCCTTCAGAAATCATGGGCGCTCCATCACTGGAGATTTTTTAAAACAGGCTAGACAGTCACTTATCTGAGATGGTATAGGTTCTCCTGCTTGAGCAGGGGGCTGGATTAGAAGACCTTCAAGGTCCCTTCCTATTCAATTCTGTTCTATTCTATGCTATGCTATGCTATGCTATGCTATGCTATGCTATGCTATGCTATGCTATGCTATGCTATGCTATGCTATGCTATGCTATGCTATGCTATGCTATTCTGCTCTGCTCTGCTCTGCTCTGCTCTGCCCTACTCTACTCTACTCTATTCTACTTTACTCTACTCTAAGGACAAGGGATGACAGGATAGCAGTGTTCCAATATCTCAGGGGCTGCCACAGAGAAGAGGGAGTCAAGCTATTTTCCAAAGCGCCTGAAGGCAAGACAAGCAACAGATGGAAACTAACCAATGAGAGAAGCAACCTAGAACTAAGAAGAAACTTCCTGACAGTTAGAACAATTAGCCAGTGGAACAATCTGCCTCCAGAAGTGGTGAATGCTCCAACACTGGAAGTTTTTAAGAAGAGACTGGACAGCCATTTGTTTGAAATGGTATAGGGTTTCCTGCCTGAGCAGGGTGTTGGACTAGATGGCCTCCAAGGTCCCTTACAACTTTTATTATTATTATTATTATTATTATTATTATTATTATTATTATTATTATTATTATTATTATTATTATTATTATTATTATTATTATATTCTTCTCTAGTGCAACAGTTGAAGAGTTAATACACTGTTTGAAATTTTATGTATCCCACAACATATTTCAAAATGTCAATAACAATAATTGAAATGGCTTATTTTCCTATATGTATGTTATCTTTAATAGAATGGCTGTGGAATCTCAGCACATGTGCTGATAAAAGAAAGTAAGGGAGGGAGAGGTAAAAATTTGGTGGAAGAAAGGAGATGAGGGGAAGGGTGGAAGAAAGAAAGAGTATTTGAGTGAGATGTTTCACAACACAGATAAACACACGATTCCCCTGCTTCTAACTTTTCAATTACTAAAGCAGCTATGTATTTTGCAAAGTTCATGAGGCAGCTTTAGAAATTGCTACTGGTTGAAGTGAAATGTATATGCCTTGCAAAATATGCAACTGTCCCAAAGGTGCTTTTCCAAAAGACAATCGGACTTTCTTGGTTTTTTTCTTTGAAAACATTTTGCTTCTCATCCAAGAAGATTCTTCAGTTCCAATGGAATTCTCACATCTCTGTTAAAGACAAACTGTTATTAAACTTTTCCTTCCCCTCCTGATCCTTTAATTTGCTGTGTTCCTGCCATATTTTTTGTCAGCTTACCATTCCATAATAATTAGTTTGATCTTTGTATGCTGTACAGGCCAACGGTTCTAAGTAAAGAACATTCAGGAAACTTGACACATACAGTATAATGTATGTATGTCTATATATGTATCCATTAGGTACCAAGCATGGAAAGAATACTCTTTTTATCTCTCTCTCCTTCCAACTCAGTCTGGGTTACTGAAGATCACCTGAACAGGCCCATAGAATTTTTTGGTCAACATTTTGGGAAATGTTAGGACTAAGAGAAAATGACTGACCTAAAGTCACTCAGCTGGCTTCATGCTAAGGCAGGACATTTGATGGATTGTAGTAAGGAGGTGGATTC